AACGGCTTGTTATTTTGTGAACTGATCAAAGAAATGATGTTGAACTATACGTATAAAAACTATCTTTAAGACTTTTTCAACAACAAAATAATTTCTTAGTAACAAAAGACATAAAATCCTCTCGATTCACTGCAATTCTCGTTCCTACCAAATCTTACTTCAGCTGCTGTGGTGGATTGGTTCTGCGCCTTAATGTATTTTGAAAACTGCCTCCTATGATGAAGCATTGAGTCTTAGCTGAAGCCATGGGCACAGAATAGGAAATATGCAGAAGGGCAACTCTCTTAGGTCCTTTTGTTGTTTTTGAAGCCTGAGGCACCTGTAAAATTTCTTGATTTCTTTTAACTTCAGTTTCATTGGACCAACTTAGCCATAATAAATTATCATTAATTAATCTGATAGTAAACGAATGATGATACAGAATTAAATTTTTTTGCTTTTATGGAGAATTTTATCTCCATAAAGTTATCTACTTATTTATAAAAAAAATTCAGCGACAGATACATATTTAGCCTCGGATAAGTTAACGCATGCGCTAGAATTTTCTGTCTTCACTTGATGGGTAGGAGTTCCCTTCTGCCTAATTCCTATTCTCTGCTATGGGTGAAGTTAATCAATCTCGGATCTCGAGTTGTGGAGGAAAACTGTTCAAAATATTTTATCCAAAGAGTTGCCAAAAAATTATTATTAGACTATAGAGGAATCTCACCGTCACATCATTTGCTTAGGCTTTTTTCGCTCAGTAAATAACTTTCGTAAAAAATTCCCAATATAATATAATTTTTTCTTATATGGTCTATCTATTAAACCAGATATCCTTTAAAGATAAATAGTCAAGCAACTGGTGAGATAATATCGTGACTCAGAAATAATTCAACCACCTTGATTTATCTGTTTCAGCTTAACGTGTCATCTTTTCAAACTTTATCATTTAGTATTCAGTGTTTATTAAGTTAATCTTGAAATGATTGATTGGTTTGGACGCCGAGAAAATCGAGTTATGTCATTTCTAACGTCTATACGTATTATTGGTTTTTGCCTGTGATTAAATATTCATGTGTCCCTATATATCACTGTCCCTTTGATGTCCAAGGCTTGTGATTCGTATTGTGGGAGAAGTTCCAAGTACAGGTCTGCGTGTATATTTGTAGTGACACATCACTTCCTTTTCTTTAAGTCTCTGTCTAGCTTTACTTGGCATTCATATAATTTGTGCTCCCATTTTGTCTTCATTGTTGGAAATGTATATTGCACTGGCAACTTAACTTGTTGCAGCGAAAAGCATTTTCCTAGCATCTTTCTCTTCAACAAAGCCTCGTGCTATTTTTCAGGGAACCGCCATTTTTTGACCCAGCGATCTCGTGTGACGCTTTGACAACCTTTGTAAACGAGGCAATGCTTTCTGTTAAACCATTGGCCGTTTTCACCTTGCATCTGTCAGCGCACAGTTGGTTGCTAATCTTTAAAGAAATCTGTTCTTGGGTACAGGCTAATCTCGACGAAACTGCCATGTTTATCTCTGCATCCCTAACCGTCTTCTCGAGAATCTCATGCTCATTAAACTTTAATGTTATCTTATCTGCCATGCGTGAACAACGTTTTCAATTTTTGAAGCTCTTTAAACGCTAAAGAAATTCACCAAACCAAAGCAGAAGCTGCTAGCATAGGGCAACATTTCAAGGAAGCGTTGTCGACTTATTCATGGGTTTCAATGGATGGACGATGTAGCTGTTATTTCATCACTGTTTCGTATTTCTTAGCGGATATTTGTAATGACAGCTATGTACTTGTAAATTGGATCTAGAGAGCCATTTACGGACTTCTGTGCTTCAAGTTGCTGCTTACTTTGCTCCACGATCTGAGTTTGTTTTCGCAAGCAACAATTGAAATTCGTAACAAATCTGCAGACATACAGTGAGGCTTCATATTGCAATATCAACGTGGTAATCTCAATCAGTATCTTGCTGGTTTTTCACAACTTACGGCCTTCGTTATTTGGCTATTGCTTTTTGCAGTTAGCATTTACAATGATCCATACTAAAATCACCCATATATTCATGCACAGTATCGTCAATGTGACATAAGTCTCATTATAGCTACCACCTGTTATAAACTCGTGTCGACATTTTTGTTTACAAAGAATTTCTTTTCGGAGGAAAAGATAATAGACTTAATTTTATCAAGCAATTTCGTATCGTAGAGCGGGTTTCAGCTGTCGAGATACATCCAGTATGGGATGTATTTCTACAATTTATTCAAAGATATGTTTATAAAAGCTTCAAGGCATGACTGTTCTCGGTTTCAAGTTGATATTTTGAGGCAGATTCAAAGCGAAGTATTGAGTTTTTGGGAAACGCAGCAACTCAACTCCATTTGGTGACATATTAGAAAGTTGCATCAAAGAAGATTTCAACAATCGAAGACACTTGGATTTTGACGAGTTCATGATAATCTGGAGGTTATTTTCAACTTCTTACTGTTTGACCTACTGAAGTTTCATCAATATATTACAGAGAATAAGACCCAATAAAGAGGAGTTTGACACTACCGCAGTTTTGTTACTCCGTGGTTTCTACATGATGATGTTAACAAGGTGACATGGAAATGTTCAAGGCTGCCACCAATGAGCATAAATTGGTGTATCTTGTGCTATCAATCATTTTTTTACGTATACCGTAAATGCAGTGCGCGCAATCAACAGAAAAAATCAGTTTTGGATTCTGCTTCGTATAACCAGCTACTGGCAAAAAGGAGATTTTAAACATATAAACCGAAAATTGTTCACACAACTCGAATCTGCATGCATGGAAAAAGACCAGCGTTCGCCTAGCTGCATCAAAATATATACTCGCCCAGTTCCAAGCATTAATGGGTAGAGTAGTGGATTGACTTAACATTATTACAAATGGAATTTCAGGGACTTAATGGGTTCAAATTTAACTCTATACTTAATTTCGAGTCTTGGGACTGACAATTTGCGATGAACTTTAAAGCGTCTGCAACGCCCATTGAAATGAATATCGATGGCCTAACTTCAGGAATTACAAGCCTCGATGGCATGAAGCTGTCAGAACGAAAAACTTCGAAAGGAAAGGCTCGCCGCATGAGTGAAACCTATCTACCTCGAGTCAGCATTGCGTTTAGCCCAGAACTTAACAGGCTCTCCGTGGCCTCAAACTTTCGCAGAACGAGTATACATCGGCAATTTTCTTTGAGGCTCAACCGAAATAGAGTTGGTTTTATACGGGTTTGTCCTCACGATAGGATAATTTATTTTTGCTATTTTCAACATGATTTAGTTTTTGCTAATTGTTTTTTTCGCAAAAGCAGGTGATCTTTGGTAATAAGTTGTGGTGATGTGAAATTACAAAAATCTTTCATATTGCACCTGCTCTGGAAATTGTTTTTATTGAATTCATAAAATTCCATATTGTTTCGTTTGACCATTTCATTCACATCATACGTATAACATCACAGGTATATCAATGAACTAAATTTATTGTACTGTCATATTTACGTGTTGAAAACAAAGGCTGGTAGAGAAATATGATTTTCCGAAGACAATCAAATAGAAAACTAGTCTAGGTTTTGTTGTTAATAGCAATTAAACATCATAACGATAAGCTAACTCATGACTGACAAATGCTTTAACCTAAATATAAAAGGTTCAATGACCCTTCATATAGATATGACTAGAAATCGACAGTGCTGGAGGACCAGGCGAAGGAGTAACATATGCCTTGCATGTTAAGGTCTAGGTATTACATCATACCTTATCGATGTTCCGATCGCACGATGATTCTTACCAATGTGACATTCAAAGGAAATGGTACCATCTAGACCACAGAATCCAATAAATTAGTATGGGTTTCCACGTATGGGTTTTTTATCGATCCACATTTGGCTGTCTATTTATTTCACCTTGGTCATCATAGAACACACGATTGTTTCTACTTGGACATGCCTTTCTCGGCTTTCTACAGTACACACTTTTTATAAGAATACTTATATAAGAAACCGAAGCCTAAGATGCATGGGACCATTTAACATACAAGCATATGGGATATTCCCCATTTGCCCCCCTGATTTCCCCAACAGTTTATCCATGATTCCCAACTAGTTTGTCTCTTCTTACCACTCGTGTTTGTTGTCTTGTGTTGTTTTAACTCACCTCCTAATTATTTCCTGCTTTACCCATTATTATCATTGGTGCATACTTATCCCATTGTTCTTGTTTTCACCTTCAGACGAATAACAGTGAGAATAATGCACCTTTTCATTATGTCTTTGCAAGTAGAAAACCATTAAGAGATCCCTTGCAAAGATGACAAAAATTGATAGCTATCGTACTAACTGTATAAGAAATTTATGATAACTGATCACCTTCAACTTTAAGAAACTGCTCAATAATGGTTCTTATAAGTATGGAATTGAAATGATACCTTTAGACGATTAAATTGTTTCTGGTTCAGTCGAAAAAGATTAAAAATGAATGGCTCCTTGCTACTGAATGAAATAGTACTTGGTATTTAAAAAACCTTTCAGTCACTTTAAGTACTAAAATCATAAAAAACGAGAAAGCTTATACTTATCCTGAGCTAGTTCCTTATCCAAAAAATGCCTGTATAGCGTGTGAAATTTTACTTGATTCTATTTCTGGTTGTACTGTATAGACTTGCCTATTCTAATTTAGGAGTTCTTCAGTATATCTACGTAAAAATATGTTGATGGCAAATGCTCACAGGAACCCCCCCCCCCTCTCCTCTTTTATATATTAGATAACGAAACTCTTGTATGCAATTTTTTATGTAAGTCTTGCCAAGTTTGGCTAGCTTTTAAGTTTAAGATTTTTCACTTTTATCAAAACTGCCACAAAAATGTAGCTCAGTACAGTGGTTAGCAACTTGCTCACCAATCTGTTTATTCTTCTATACCATATCTTTGCACATTAGCAGTTGCATTAAAGATATGATGTCTTACTGTATCTTTTTGGTTTGCAGAAACAAGAGAAAAAAGAGGAAATTCCAGATGATTTCGGAAGTGGTCGAATGATACCAACTAAACAGGTAAATCGGTTTGTAATGAATTTCTTATATGCATAGTTTACTCTGCCCATCTACACCCTTCATACCGGATTATGATTGCCCTCAACACAAAACTGTCGTTAAAGCACAATTCAATTTTCTCTACAGCTATGTAGGGCTCACTCACTTAATTTAATTTTGATGTAAGAGGTACTCTGGCGATGATACAACTCTGTTATCTGTAGCTTTCAGAGTATTCAGCCAGCATGAAAGCCGTTGTTATATAATATTGCATTAGCTCAGCAAGAAAATTGACTCATGTTGTCTCAAGAAAATTTACAAATAGAGATTTACGCAAACCATCTTAACTTCACCTCCGTCTGCTTGCGTACCATATATCTTGCTTCCTAGCTCGAAGGTGTATATCTGCATAATGGCATCCTATACCCAGGCCATTAGCTTTTCTTTGCTGACTTTCATTTTTAAAAATGCTCCTATCATATTTAAATTCTATTCAAGGGCTATTTACACAAACGGAGTCATAACAGTTTGAAGGAATGGAAAAAGAAATACGTGACGATCTGCGACAACAGTACTCTTGTTTATTACCCAAATATGAAGGTAATTCCTTGTTAATTATATATCATGTAGAAGTTTGCCAAACTCAGCCAATGAAGTTATTGACAACTTGGCAAAAACGATGGATTTCTCAAATTTGATCTCTTGTCATTAACAATATATGTGTCTATACAGTATTTTCTCTAAAGAACGCCGCGGCGTTTATTGCAAATTCCAAATTTTGGGATCAATATTGGGAGGCGTTTATCAGAGGGCGGCGTTCATTATAGGAAATACGGTAATTATTGTCCATATGCCCATTATCAAGTCGTAGCGAAAATACCCAGGAAAAAGGGAAATGTGGGAAAAGAAGTACTGATTGGACAATGACATGAAGCCAGTTGTCAAATAAACGTAATGGAAACTCGATTTTTTACGATCTGACTAATGTAACGAGAATCGGTCCTGGAAAGAAACTTTCAGGAGATAGAGGAGAGTAGATTTGTAGTTTTTCACAACTAACTAAGGATGTGATAAGATTGCCACGATATTAGATTAATATTTCCCATATCTAATTGATAATGTTGAGCTACTGTCTTACGAAATTTTAGATTTTATCTTTTAAGTAACTTACTTATTATCTTCAAAGGATTACATCGAAGAAATAAACGGTAAAACTATCAACTTAGCCCATACAACAGTTAAAGTGCCTGGAAAAAGACCGCCAAAGTTAAGCTATCAAGGTATCAACTTTCCCTTTTAATATTTCACTGTATCTTAGTAGTTTTTATCTTTAAAAATATTTTATACCCGTCTTATTAGATAGGAAACAGCTAGATTCAATCCACCACTTGAATAGCAGTGCTAAAATATTGTCTTACTGTGCTATCTTCGCATGCAAGTTGAAGCTAAAGCGTAACTCCATACCCTAGCAATCTGAAGTGTCTTAAAGCTGATTCCTTAGCTTCAAAATCTCCTGTGTCTCTCCAGCTTATTTTTACTCCTGTGTTGATGTAAAGATGAACCGCATTACCTAGAAGTTTCATTAATAAAAGCTCAGACTTCAAGATATAGGTGCTTTATGATGAAATTTAAATTTTCTTAACGAAAGTCTGTAAAGACCTATTTGAGAAAGTATCCAAGATACTGGGTTCAGCACTATCACTTTCTCAAAAAAATCACCCAGGCAAACCCTATCTATATATTGATATACGAGTATATCTCAGTGTGATGCATTACAGCTTGCATTTTCAGGCAACAGGCAGGCAACTATTGATGCAGCTAATGGAGAAACACCCAAGAAATCTCAGATCGCATCAAAACGTCATTCAGTCCAAAAGGAGGCAATGGATGCAGTCGTAATTTCAAATTCTTTAGCCGCTGGTTCTCCGGAAAAGCAAGAAAACGACACGTCAGTCCATTTAGATAGTGCGATTCTCAAAACAACAAAAGGTATGTTTGCCATCATCAAGACTTTTCTAAACATGCATTGAATCGCGTGTTTTTAAGGCCCCGTCTACGCGAGCCTGGGTTTGCTCCTACCCGTCTTCGAGGGTCAACCCGTTTACGGTTAAATCTCAAATCATACGTTTACATGATGACATCCGCCAACCCTGGTCAACCCAGTCAATCCGCCTTGCCAGGTAACCACTCTTCTCAAGCTTTCTCATGTATAGTCGGGTCAGCTAAACCACGGGTCGAGTGAACACTGAAGTAGTCAGTTTAGGGTCATTTTTACGCTTGAACTAGCAAGTTGAGCTGACCCGGCTGAGATCAGCCATCTAAAGGAACCAGTTGGCCCGGGCTCTTGTAACCGGATTTTTTTTATTGCAGCGTTCTGACCTGACCCCTATAGTAGTAGAATCTAGTCCGGAATTGTGTAAACGGGGTCTAAGCAACCGGCACACTACAGAATAGACAAATGTTTTAGCTATTCTTGCCGGCTCAGAAAATGAAATGATGTTATTGCAGTGTTCTGTAAAACCACTGAGTTTACGAGGGTTTTACAGGCTTGTGTTCGCAGATTCGGCGGTAAAAGAAAGTACAAAATTCAATAAGCGTGTTCTGATTTCTTGGCTCGACGGTTCCTATAGTTTCATCTAATTCGACAACGACTAAACGGGTCACTTCGGCAAAACTGGTATGCTTCAAACTTCTTGAAATAACAACGGCTATCCGAACATCTGAAATCACGTCTAAACCTTAGCGACTAAATTAAACGACTGAATTACTCACAAAAGCCAACAAATATTTTACTCAACAGCAATTAAGATAATTAGGACAGTTATACAAAACAGAACAAAGGAGCTGATCACAAGACAGGCTGTTACATGGAAATTGGCCAAGGTGCTAACAAAAGTCAAGCACGCAAATGAAATTCAAACAGCAAACAAGCAAAAGTTTCCTTAACGAAATTCTGTCCTTTTACAGTTCTCACAATGTGCGTAGGCCATTTTCAACTAGTCTCGATTCAACTATTCTCGTTATACCCATTCTATTTATCATTTTCACCCATCCTTGATGACGAACAACAGCTGTCTGCGTGCTACTGGAAATGCTCTTAGTTCTGTTTTATCAAACGTCTCTTTGAATTATAACTTGGCACTTTTTTGTTTGTAAAGCACTTTTTGGTTTGTAATGAATCAAATGATTGCTCTATAAAAAACATAGGGGCTCAATGGCTATGTACAATGAGGATGTCTGGTACGTGATAAAAGCTCAGTAAAGAGCTGTAGCAAGAAGGATTTGGCTTTTCTGTGAAGATGTTTATAAAGAAAAAATATCAGAATATCGGGTCTCGACGAGAATTTACTCTCGTTGACATTGTCATTGACGGTGGAGTAATATCTCTCGGGCTGATTCGTTTTAATTTTCCGTAAAAGCTCTATTAAGCCCCGGGGGTGGGGGCTTATTTATTTTTTCAGTCATAAAGGGGGGCTTATTTGAGATGAGGTCTTATTAATTATTCAACATCAAAACACATTATAAAAATGCCTTGAAGAGTTTATTGTTTCATTCAAAGTTTTATAGTTTCATTCGAAGTTTTATAGTTAGAAAAGTGGCTTGTGGTCACTTAATTGGCACTTTGCTTTTTTTGGTTGAATAATTCAATTCGACACGGCAAAAATTCGGTGTTTAAACTGGGCCTAAGATTCTGAAGCTGAACTTTTTAATTGCGTCACACATTCTGCAAGTCTCTTTATGACACATCCATCTAGGCCGTGTTTTCATTGATAAAACAGCTTTGTCAATGATTAAAAATTTTATCGAATATAAAATCTTAATTCCCACAATAGCCATTTTTTCAATTAAACGAGTGCACAATTGCGGAATTGTGTGCTGCAGCTGCCTTTGAAACTGTGCCAACTTCTCGTTTGGCATTGCCATTTCGTAGACTGAGCTGTTTTATCAATGCAACTATTGTATGATGAGTCAACATCATTTCGTAGCCGCGAGCAATAGAAAGCGGGACACTAATTAGAGGAAAATGGGAATTCTTCGCGTAGCATTCTGTTACGGAAACCGTGTCACTTCGTTGGTTACTTACTTACTTACAGGGGTCCCCACTCCTATATGTATGTACTCATTCTTCGTACATAATAAATGTGACATTCATTAATTTTCAAAAAAATGAATTATGATTTTAATTCTGATGATTTTTTCCCTGTCTGTAATTCACAACTGTGATTAGATTCTGTTTGAAGCTTTAGCTTGTTTTTATGCTTAATTATGAATTCTCTTGACGTCAAAATAAAGCCAAGGAGATTTCCTCTGTTAGGGCCAGCTCAACACATTGTATTTGATATGCTAATTGCCTTCAGCTCTTGTTTCCATCGCACCTTGAAGTCATTCAGATCCTTACAGCTTTGTCTAAGAAGCTGTAAAAGCGATTGCTGTTATTAATTCAGAATTACACAACATAGATTAAAACTCGTTATGCTTATTATCCACTCTTAAGACCTTGGTTGTAATGCATTGGCTAATGATCATCAATTTTTCATGTTTTTATTCTTAATCTTAACATTGACGTAGAACGACTTAAAGCTTCTGTTTTAGGTTTATCCTTTTCTGTTCTGCAAACATTTTAAATTTTTACGAAGTTCGTGCCTTGAAACTGCATTTACTATCCTAAATCTGGTCATGTTATTTGAAATTTTACCAAATGGCTACTTTTGCAGCCCAATTAGAACATTTGACTATAAAATCCTACGATTTTTGCAAACAATTTTTCATTTTTTTTTGTTCATATAAACATTTGATAAGAAGTTTTCTACAGACACTGTTAAAAAGCCCGTGTTTTCATCCATCTTTGCATCCGTAAAAGTTGGTAAACATGAATTCTTTCTCTTCTTTCATCATCCTTAGTGTGATTTACGTCTTTATAAATTTAGAGTTCTGTTCCACACGTGCCTGCAACAACTTTCAAAAATTGTCTCTGAATATTTCACATTTAAAAGCGGCTCTAGATGCACTGCTATTTGATACAATTAAAATTTTAGGCATTTTCTCAAATAGAGACGATTTTGTAAATAACCGCATGATCAATGCCTTGTATGATTCAGATAGCCTCCATATTTCTTTAATATTTCATTAACCTTTTACGTAGTTTTTCTTCCTCAATCTTATTACATCTGCAAATTGGAGTCTTGTATTAAATCAAAAAATGAATAATACGGAGAATAAGAGCTTTTGCGCTGTGAACAAGTTTTTGAGTATTTGCTTGTACCATCTGTCGTTACATTCTAATGACGCTGGTCCTGACCGGCCGACCTCTTTTATTGCTATGTGGCCATGCTATTAATGCCAGTATGAGGTCTCTCTGTGAGTTAATAGCAGATGGCGTAGTTATGATCTTACGACCCGCCAGCAGTACAAAAATGTTATTCTATAGTTGTCTTTTCAACCAGTCGCACATCAAAAATGCTGTTGATTAGTTAATTTACTAATTCCAATAATAACCAGATACTTGTTTCTAAAAAATACTGTATATTATTTGTAAGTGTCTTGGCTGGGGAACGACAAGTCCATTCCTGTGCTCGCTATCATTCGACCCCCCCCCCCCCCTTATAAATTTTGCTCTAACTCTCTTGTAAACCCAAAATTTACTTGTAAACCCAAAGCACTCCGGTACCGACGTTGCTAAAACGAGGAACTAGCGGAACGTGCGCGGAACGTGCGTGGAACTAGCGGAACTAGCGGAACTAGCGGAACGACTAAGGAATGACCGCGGAATGAGCGGAACGACTAAAGTTCTCTCCTCATTCCATGGTCGTTCCGCGGTCATTTCATAGTCGTTCCGCGGTCATTCCTTAGTCGTTCCGCTCGTTCCGCGGTCATTCCTTAAAGGTTCTGCTAGTTCCGCGCACGTTCCGCTAGTTCCTCGTTTTAGCAACGTCGACTCCGGTACTGCCTTAAGGTAACGCATACACATTTTAAATTTTCCTTGTAGGAATAATTTCAACTGGAATTCATGGCACACCGAACAATGCCCTCTCGCCAACCAAAAAGAAGAACCGTCGACATGGCGGAAGGCATGCAAAGTCGTGTGAGATCGACTACGGCCAGATATGCAGCGACATGGAAAACTCGCAGGGGACCCCTTTAAGCGCAAGGAAGAAATTTTCCCATAAAAGGAATAAGAGTGGTGCTGGAAAAGATCTCCAATTTGACAAGGGTACAGACACAGGTATGGGTACCTAGGTTTTTTTAACATTAATGATATTTTAAGCTTCAGCTTTAATGAGATATTTTAAGCTTCAGCTTTAATGTTAGTTTATATCTCTTCCTATCGATTATGATTTGAATTTTCACTTAATTTATGAAATGCATGAAACCAGCCACTTGACTGTTGGGGGGAGGTACTCTCACTTTTACTGTCGGAAAATGCCCTTTTATAAACAGGGAACGAAAATGTTATGAACAGAAATGTTATCAATTACGAACAACCTTGCCTAAGGTTGGTTCCGTAAATAGTTTCAAAATGAAATAATCACATAAAAATACTTGGCCAAAGTATCACCTTTCTCCTAACATCCTCTCGTAGAATTTAATCAAAATACCACATCAATTCTGCCGAAAACCTCTGAGGCATGTTCTCCCTCCGACCGCCCATGGCAGGCACCGCGCAGCCATTGGGCTAGCAGGGACTATAGCCCACCCACTTTTTTGCAATAATAGGCTAGAAAATTTTTTGAAGGTTTATCTGACGCAACTTTGGATAGTTAACTCCTATGTAGTAGCAGTTCTCATTGACTGGGAACCATTTTTGTTCTTTTTCTAGGTTTTTCATCTTGTTTAATGATATGATGTATTTTCTAACTTGGTTAGCTTGGTTATTTAGTACCCTCGAGCTAATTCTATCTATTTCTATGGTTATTGATATCTTCTCTGAACCAGACTCTTTATAAAAATTCAATAGAAATAAGCAAGTATCTTCTAAAAGGGGCGTTTTCCGGCGTTCAAGAGGGCGTGGCCTCAGAAAAATTTCGGTCTCACCCATTTCAGCCCCCCCCCCCCCCCCACTTTTAGAGTGGTGCGCGGTCCCTGGCTCATGGTGCCGCCATTGCTTTGGGGGACAAAATCAAAAGCATTTGAACGCCAGTGTGAGGTTCCCAGTTGAAACAAAATTTCTCATATTTTCGTGATGAAATCCCTATCGCCGTCACAAAATTGCATTTGTTTTTTTCAGAGGAAGATGATGTTGTTTTCACAATAATATCTCTTGATGGGAAAAGTTGGGATTTTGAATCAACAACTGCCGATGTAAGTGTTGCATCTAAGATTTTGATGTTAAGAGTTGTATCGTGTCTACTTTTCATTGTTTAAGGTAAAAGAATGCATATCTGCTAAATTTTCTTACCCCAAAGATTCTTTTTCGAAATTCTCAAATACATTTCTTTCATATCTGTTGCAAAATAAGCAAGGAATTCCGCAATCCTGTCACAAATATCTTGTGAAAAGATTGTCCTTAGTCTAAACTCTAGCTTTCAAGTCAAGAAACAAGAATGCGTTCCACTTGATTACTTCTCTTATGATGGATAACACTATTGACCAATCATCGAATGCTTCTTTACAAGAGGTTATCAGAGGTAAAATTTGGTTTTCCCTAACCAAGACTTTTTTCGAAATCGATGATTTCTAAGTAATTTAATTAGGATGTCATTTGTTTTACAATAATTTGGCTGATTTTTTCAGTAACACAGCACTAAAAACTCTAACTGAAAGATATTTAATAGAGAAGTAGAGGACTTGAATTTTGTGTTGCTATGGTTCACATTTCAAACTGCTGTATTCCTATATAACTTGACTTTAAGGTAAAATTGTACGACGAAAGTAAGAGCGAATTTTAGAAACAAAGTTTCGAGCATAGCCCAATATCCAGTGCATTTTATCTGGCTCTGATTGACACGTCGTTTTTAAATTCGCCCTTTCTTTTCTCGTACAATTATACCTTAAATCCAACCTATATTGTTTCATTATATTGTGCGACACGCAATCTGGTATATTTATGGTACGTTTATACTGTATTCCTAGGAAAGAGATCGTTGGGTTGATGGAATAGAAAAACAAATACTGAAAGCTTTTCAAAATGGTATTACGTCACCCAAGGAAGAAAGGGTATGTCAGTTATCGTGAAAATGTGTGGCGTGAAAGCTTTTATTTTTCACAGAATCCAGTGTATTTTCTCTATCTAGGTTTGCTTCAAGATATTTTAAATGTTCACTCAGTTTAATTAATGATTAGGAGTTTGTTGAAGCTGAATCTGAATACAGGCGCAACATTTAATAGATGTGAGTGTCTGCACCATATGGTTCATTTTCTGCTCTCTACATTAAATACGTGCTTCTTTCATGAAGGTACCGCAATCACTGTAACTTTCTCATTTGTTATCATCATCGCCATGTCTCTTGTGTGGGAAATCGTGTAATCGACCAGCATTTCTTGACATATTTTGAAGTTTGAAACAGAATTCATATGTTTATATCAAGTACTCCCCTTAAAACCTTATTCTTTGTAAGAAATGGTGTCCTAGTTTATTCCATTTTATGCTACGTTAAAAAATCGATTAGAAATTTCCTTACGTGAGTTTGAAATTTTAATTTGTCAAAACATTGTATGCAGATAACCTTTTTGTGAGTGAATCAACCTGTTTACCCCATATTTGTTAACCAATTTGCTCCTCGGTATACCCCCCTCAATTCCGCATCTTTTAAGATTCTTTCAGTAATTTTGTTTGTATTTCGTGGTATTTTCTCGTGGTATTATTCTTGTTTGCCTTTAAGCCTATTAAAGTTTTTCACTGTCAGGTCCACCAATGGTTTACAATGAAATTTGTAACCACCGTATTTATTTACTTCTAGTGTGCAAGCGACAGCTCTGCCTACAGTTCTACATCTGCGCAGTCTAATCTTCGTACCATTGCTGGCAATGACCGCTGCGCGGATTGCGGAGCACCAGGTGTGTGTCTGTTTTCATACCGGGAATTTATGTCTGTTTATTTATCTTTCTATTCTTCCAGTCATTTACAGTTATTTTTACGAACTTTTTTCGTATCCTCTAAAAGATTTTGAAAGGCCATTGATCCAGTTTTGTGAGATGCTTGAGGAAGGGAAGGAAATGAGAGTGATCTCTTTATATTCTCGCAGCCATTGGCCTGTTGCAAATTCTTTTGAATTTATTCATTTTATCGAGAACAATTTTTTCGGTTTAACTTGAAAAAATTGATCTCTACCAAAAGGCTTCTCCCCAATGAAAGGACAGTAGAAAGGTTAAGAAAGGAAAATGGGAAAATGGAAATGGGGAGGAAAGGTTGAAAAGGGATCTGCTACATGTCTTTGTGAGGTTGTTGACAAGGATCTGTGAGGCCCAGGGGTTTATGCTCTTACCGTGACCCCTTTAATGATGGGGAGCTGCCAACAGAACTTGAAGAAGAAAGCAGGAAAAAGAAAAGGAGCTAGAGAAGGGAAGGAATAGGGAATAGAAGACTTTTAAATCAGAATGCTGCAAAAGACTAAAAGTGGAAAACTGGTTAGAAGATTATAAACAATTGCTTTGAAGCTAAGCAAGTAAACCCTGGAAGCAAAACTTTAAAGTTTTATCATTTGTCTGTCAAAAAAAATTCCTAAGGATCCAATTTTTTTCTTTTAAAAAGACCAAGCTAATGCAATGCATCCTTCCTATCAAGCCATTTCAACACAAGGCGTTTATAATGCAAAGCATAATTTGGATACACTGGCCCTATTCCAATGTGTCAAGGATGATAATGTCGTTTACATTCATGTTAAGTTTAAAATCAAGGTAATTTTAAGCAAATCAGCATTTGTAGCTAATTTTTGTTCCGCCTATTGTATATTTCCTGTTGTTTGATTTTCAGATCCGGATTGGGCTTCAGTCAATCTAGGAATCCTGATCTGCATTGAATGTTCCGGAGTCCATCGGAAATTAGGGACACATTTATCGCGGGTTCGATCACTTGATTTGGACGCATGGCCGTGAGTTGAAATTATTTTTTGACAATTAAGACATTGCTTGGTTTTATGTAGATTAAGTGCCAAGGAACAGTTTTATTGAAAAATGTTACGATACACCCAAGACATAAGCAATATTCCGAAGATTCCATGTACATTGGTATTTCTCTCTACCTTCCTAAATTCATAAATGCACAGTTTATGAAATATTTAAAGCCAATTAACAGATAGTGAAGTGGCTAGAATCTTATGTCAATCAACATTTCACCAATCAGTGACTGTAATGACACTCACACGCTCGTTCATAGGCTGTTATTGATCGACAGATGGCTTAAACTACTTTAATTTCTGAGATTGCCTTCAACGTTTGTTGATGGCCAAATAATGATAAAGTCTCTACCTATTCAGGATTACAAAATTCTTCATGAATGTACGAATTCGTATTACTGATATCTTGGCACTCCAGAATTTTTGGAGCATAGGAAAACTAGTGAGCCAAAGAGAATGCCTGCTTTAGAAAGAAGCCACTTCATGAAATGCGTTCTAAATCTAGATACCGTAGTCTCTATCTACTGGCAGGGTAGCCCAGGAGAACAAGTGATGGTTTTCAAGCATTACTCCCATAGGTTGAATTCAAACTGATTTACAAACGGATGATGAACCTGTTAAATCTAAAATTTTGTTAACAAGTTACAAATAGTATAAATGAAGAGTTCCTGAAATGTTCTTTGAGACTTTTTAGGGAGTACACCTGTTAACTCCACTTAGAGGATTTTATTCCACATAATGGTTTCTCTATAAGAAATGTATTTTTGACTGTTTTATGTTTTCTTCAAAAGCAGCATTTAATTTATTATTGTAATAATATGGCTGTGGATGATGCACGGCAAGATATTTTTATAATAATTGAATAATGACTGTGGGTCAACCCAGTAAATGATTTCTAGGCCATTGCTAGAGACTCGCTTTGTTATGTGTTCAGGAATAGTCTTCTAATCCAGACTTTCGATGAGCTGGGAATGCAAAGCTGCTACTTTTTATACTTCTAGCAGGATGGTTTTTCAGCTTTTGTAACTGATTGGTGAGAGTATATTTTCTATGACTTTTTCATGCTATTTCAGGCCCGAGTACACAGCAATTATGTCAAATATTGGGAATGAATATGCGAACAGTTTATGGGAGCATTCGCTGCACGGGAAGAAAAAACCACACCCTAATTCGTCTCGGTAAGACGTCAACCTTTTTTATGTAACCTTGTTCCTGATTATCCTAGATACTTTATTTTTTATTTATTAAGCAACTGTCTTTATTTTTTATTTATCACTATTTTCACAGGAATACCTTTAAAAAACAAATTAACAAATTAATAACTTATTAACAATATGTAGTTAAGAAAAACAGAATCGCTACTCTACCGAGGGATCGATTTTGGTTTTTCTAGCTTAACACTGGGGATTTGCAAATCTCTATAATTTCCTGTTCCATACTCTAAAATCTGGGATCTTTCAGTAAACCTATGACAAAGATTGTCGGGACACAGGTCATGCAAAATGTTTAATATCATGAATTCTTGGTCCAATCATTTTTAAATGTCTTGACTCCTTGGTGCAAACATATTTTGGTTGTCATGACCTTTACCAAGCCACATACATTTGAAAAGTCATCAAAGATCACCACGTTTGTTTCTAGCATGCGATTTTCTTACTGCAAGCTCTGCTTAACCCTTCTTCATGAGGAACCTTACCGTTGAAATATTAATGGGTGTATTAATGGGGAGATATTGATATGTATGTGAATACCCTTGATTAATGAGCTCTGTCATTTATGATCACTCTTGTGATCACTGATGGCGATATTGATGATGATATACTATGCATGTCTTGATCTTATGATGATCAAAAACATTCATGATTGCATTTATTATTACTGATAGGGATATTTATTTGGATGTGAATACCCTTGATTAATGAGCTCTGTCATTTATGATCTTTTTTATGATCACTGATGGCGATATTGATGATGAAATACTATGCGTATCTTGATCTTATGATGATCACAAACGTTCATGATTGCATTTATGATCACTGATGGTTACATTGATGTTGATATATTATGCGTATCTTGATCTTATGATGATCACAAACGTTCATGATTGCATTTATGATCACTGATGGTTACATTGATGTTGATATATTGTGCGTATCTTGATCTTATGATGATCACAAACGTTCATGATTGCATTTATGATCACTGATGGTTACATTGATGTTGATATATTGTGCGTATCTTGATCTTATGATGATCACAAACGTTCATGATTGCATTTATGATCACTGATGGTTACATTGATGTTGATATATTATGCGTATCTTGATCTTATGATGATCACAAACGTTCATGATTGCATTTATGATCACTGACGGTTACATTGATGTTGATACACTATGCGTGCCTTGAACTTGTAATGATCACCATCGTTCATGATCGCATTCATGTAACGTGATGTTTTTTATTTTCTGTTTGTTATTTTCTGTTTGTGATTTTCTGCATCTGATTTTCTGCATTTGATTGTCTGTAGCGAAGAGAGAGAAAACTGGATACAGTCAAAATACGAAGTGAAAGAGTTTCTTGACTCGCTGCCTAAAAGTCACATGACATTAGGACAGGTATTCTATTCCCTACATTTACATCCATGCTTCTTTCTTATTTGCTCGGAATATCTATTGCATTCCCCTAAAGCTTCTGTATCACAGTTCTCAATATATGAACCGATGCAAAGGATAGAAAAAAATTCATAATACCGATGCACTCACATTGTATTTATAACGCGAAGTATAAGCCAACCTCTGGTATGCTACGGATTAAATCATACCTTTTTGGCAATAAAAATAATTTACCTATTTCTATGCTGTAGAAAAATGTCTTTGTGTCGTTATTTACTTCCATTTAAATTATTTTACAATTGCTTAATGTTGTCTTTTATTTTAAAAGGTATCATATTATATTTGTAAGCAAGAAAGACTTTCACGCTTTTCTATGGCCTGTCATATTCTCTGCATATTACTTACTTTGTAACGCCTATCTGTAACTTTTTTGTTTCAAAGTTTCTTATTGATGACCATGAAATTATACGCCCTATATATTAATTAATTGCGTTGGTTGTAGCAAATTATAGATGCTGTGTCGAGAGACGATCGACGGTCGTGTTACCCCCTCTTAATACACAGTTCGGTCGATGACGTAAACACGAGGACAGATGATTCGCAGCGTATGACACCTCTGCACATAAGTTGCAAAATAGGGAATTCAGTTTTAACACAGATGCTGTTATGGGTGAGTGCCCTTTTTGGCTATTATGAACAATTCTTTTAATGTAAAATTGTTGGCAAAAGAAATAGGTTGGAAACTAACAAATCAACGAAAAAGTTCATATTTGTGGGAAAACACAAAATTATGCCAAATTATGCCTACCAGCTAAAATATTTTCTGAAACAAAACAAGCTTAGAAAAAACTAAATTTCAAAAAACAAGATTTCTGGAATATACTAACCCTGGAACCGAAAAGTTTAAGTTGGTCGCTGTAAACTTTCAACCGTGCAGTGGAAACTTCAATGACGCAATTTTTAAAGTATTTCTGACTATGTCCCGACGCATTTCGATGGCCATTTGAATTCTCATTGGTTGCACTATACAATAGGTCTATTGTTACATATCCAATCGGCAGCTCCATATTTCTCAATCATATCATATAATATCATATATATGTCATATGTCATGTCATGTCATGTCATGTCTTTATTTTTGTTTTTGGAGCAGACTTGAGATAATTGTGAACGACCACAGGGTTGTTATGAAGATTCGCACCCCTGTGTTATCGTTATTGTACCGTAGTTTGTAGTAGTGTATTGTGAATTTCTATAAGCATAAAAAACTGTTTTGTTCTAGTATTTTGGCGATCCAAGAGCCGAAGATGCATCCAGACGAACTCCTATGACGTATGCACGCAAATCTCAAAGTAGAGAGTGTGCAGATCTATTGTCACAGTTCGGGTGCCCTGAAGACACACCCTGCTAGCTGTGAGACAACGCTTTCCCTTGGCTACAAAAGTAAACGTCGCACTACATCGACCATACGGTTCACGTGACTGCTCGTGTTTAGCCACAGGAACAAATCGTGGAGATATTTCAACTGGTTTGGGCATCGCAATCACGCCATTTATTCCAGTCTTCAAAAATCAGGGTATTCGCACATTCTTAGATTTTTTTCTTTGATGCAGATGCCCTAGACATTTCATCTTTATATTTGTGGCGTGCAATAAGACAGAAAAATCGAACAAATTTCGCCAAGAATGCAAGATTGAAATTGAAGAATGACTTTGTGACAGGTTGATTACAACCATTCAAAATAATTGAGCTGAGATAATGCACTTCGAATTTGTGGCCATGAAATGATTCGTAACTGAATTTGATTTATAACTGAACGGCCACACTAATCTCTTTGTCAAAAGCAATTGTTTTAGCCTGGGAATTCTTAGAAATATTTTGCTCTCTTTGAATGATACTGCTTAGGATAGTTCAGATCAACCAAACTGTATTTGGTTTAAACTAGAAAGTTCCTATAGTGGTTTTTTGTTGTCCTTCGTGAGCACAACAAACGCAAAGCATTTCGAGCTTTTGAGTTGTGCTTTGTTTTGATTGTTTAAGCAATCATTGATTAGGCCTAGACCTAGGCAATGTTTTCATGTAGCATGCCAATTTTATTCTAAAGCATTCTTTATCCTCTTTGGCCTGTGCTATTTTTTTCTCCGCCTTAGTCCTTTTCTTTGGTTTCGGTAAATGTCTACCGCCTTTGAATGCGCAACCTCACAACTTAATTAACATATTTTCAGCTGAAACCATGTCCTTTTATGTCCGAACATTTAATTCCGACAAACTCGAAAAGGAAAATAAATTCAAATTTAATATAAAATAAGGCCAGTATTTGTGTGATGCAAGTTCCACTGAAATTGACGGAAGCAGTTTCGAGACAGCACTGGTATCTTTGCTTCTGATGCAAGCATTTGTAACCTTACTTGCACGAGTTATTCCCATGTTCAAAGAGTTGCCCAAAATGTGTTCGTCTTTTCAGTACACCATTATAACTAAAGACAAATCCCCTGCATTTTCCAGTGGTATGGTAGATCTGATTGATAGATCTGAATGTTTAAGCAAGTTCCATCATTTCACGTATTAAGTATATTCCATCATTTCAAATGTAAAACAGTCAATATATAAAATGTAACAAAACAACACTTACTTAGCTATATGCATGACAACAGTCATAATCGAAACAATATTTGTTATTTAATCAGTAGAGTATATTTTTATCCTGTATAATGTGTTAATATTCCACATCTATAACATTTTCCTAATTTTTGCGTTCGTCTAGTGAATGAGAATGAGAAAATTAAAACCTTTGGTTGCATTGATAAGTGTTTTTCAAGCTATATCTACCGGTGCTTGAGAGACAGTGTTTGGAGACATGGACATCTAGTCGCCAGGGCTACTGGCTGGTCGTGTCAGTTAATGTATTTGTTTCTATACATATAGAAAGATAAGGATTCCAAAGTTTATCAACACCTTGTGTCTTGAAATAGTATGCTTTGGGTAAAAGGCCTAGAACAAGCACCTGTCTCCCTGTTATGTGGAAGCAAACAGCCTTCATCTTCTGTAAGTTTTTATAGGAGAATGCTTAAAGATTTTTACGACGCGGATGTTTTTGCAGGTAATTGTCTGATGCTTTATTGGTTGGATGGCTTCTTACAAGGGTTTCTATCTAATATTTTGCAACTGCTCATTTACTTGTTATGAGTATCGTATACTGTAAACACAGGCATATAGGAAACTAGAGGATTAAAACCTGCAGACTGCCATTATGAAATTAGACCCCCATTTCATATGGACCAATCTAGGATGAAATCTGAAATGAGGTTCTTATTTGTAGAGATCACCAAGCTACATTAAATCTCTAGATGCTTGCTCAATGACATTGAACCTTCACAAACCTGTCAACCCTCCCGGTTCCGCCGGGAGACTCCCGGTTTTGACTGCTTTCTCTCGGTTTTTAAAATTTTTCTCCCGGTTTTAAAGATGTCTAGCAGAATGTCTAAGAAGATTCTTCACCGATTGTTTTGAATGAACTGAACTGCGCATCTTGTGTTTCAAAGACAGTTCCATTGTGTATGTTTTCTTTTTACAGAGGTATAATTAAGATATAATGGTCACATTGACTTTCCACATGACAACAATTTTGTGTTAGTGCTTACTTATTGACGAAAATGCACTAAAAGTTATTATGAAGATACTTCTTCGTGATCACTTTTGTCATAAACTGTTTGCCGAGCAAAACATTTAATCAGGTATATTTATTCCCTTAACGAATTACTGTGATCTCCCTGTTTTTGACCAAATCTCCCTGTTTTTCTTCAAGAAAAATCCAAAATCTCCAGGTTTTGAAAATTTAAGGTTGACAGGTCTGCTTCAGCTGATATTATGGATGCTTAAAAATATCTATCAAAATGTAGTAGTTAATACACTATTCAGTATTTCAATGTTTATCAATTCTCAAGCTAAAATGCTGTACTGTTCTTTATTTTACCTAAATTAAAGTCTTTGGAGGACTCACTTTTGCTCAGCTGTCTCAACACCTTCTGAGGGTAGTAGGGATCTCAACTTGTAGGTTTTAAGTCTCCTGGAATTCCAGAACCTTTAGCCCGAGTAAATACATTTAAATTATTACAAATGCTTACAGTTTGAATTGGAACAAAAGATATTTGTGAAAGCCTTGCATCAAAAAAGAACCAATTCAAGAAACCAAGCACCCTTACTTTCTATTCACTACCCAATATATAAGAGCCTAGCCAGGCTTATTGTAGATTTTATAGGCGGGTGTTTACTGAACTTTGTTACCTCCATCTTTTTAATTTCATATATGTCTTCTTGTTTTCTGTAAAAACAAGAGATCGACGCATGATAAAGGCAGTTTTATTTAGTTTCATTTATATTTTAGTCATTCGTAAATATAATTCTACAGAAGTTTCACAAAAACAGTTACCATTAGATGATTGTGATAAATGATTAGCCCTTTGTACTTTATAAAATTATAAAATTCTAGAATGCTAGCCCCATTTTTAAGTAAGAGGAGTGTCTGAGTAAATTTTCAGAAGTAAAATCTGTTTCTTAAAATAGATTTTATCTTCATCAATATTTTTATCAATATTCTGGCAGATTGTCGTTGAAATGTTTAAGTAACAAGCTAGTGAAGTTAGATGACCAAGAACATGCTGAAGACAATTCTTGGTTTGGTAGCTTGGTTGGGTAGCTTGATTGGGTAGCTTGGTTGGGTCCTTCATTTCAATCGTGAAAGGCACTCAATGTTTGTTTCATTTGAAATTTTCCCCATTATATCTGATAGAATAGACCATTTCGACTTACGGCCTCATTTTGAAAAAAATTTCAAATTATTTTGTACAAAATTTTTGACCTCAGATTCGGATTCCAAGCAATGATTTTAGTATACTTTGAAGTTTTCATCATGGTATTGCTCACGATATTGAATTTATGACGACAAAAAGATAAAAAATTTATAAGGGATTTGACCCTGATTGGCGATTAGAGGGGTAAAGTTTCCCCCCGAATGATTTTTTGCGGTCAAGTCCCTCACAAGTTTTCAAACTTCATTTCTCCGTAAAATCTAAAATACAAGCACAAACAATATGAAAAATTGTATCCGGCCTAAAATTATGGTGATAAAACCAAATCTAAGCTTTAGAAAGTCGTATAATTAGGTTAGGAGAAATTTTCAAAACGAGGCCGTAAGTCGAATGGGTGTATGATTTTTTAATAAAAGCTTAATTTTTTTAAATATCGATAAAGGGAAATGTTTCTGAAAAATTCGCTGCTCGTAGTATTATCCTTTTAACAAACAGAAAGTCTACTTGTTTCTTCCATTAAACCATTTGCTCGAATGTTCAAGATACTAGGATCAATTTTCGCAAATAATTTAACTTAATCTCTATGCATGATAACAAGCTTGAAAAATATTGCTAATACCAAATAGTTGATAGATATTTTTTCCCTGCCCTATGTTGCTGTTGTTGAATTCGTTTGTATATAGTTAGCTATGATTATAAGTTTGCGCAAAGCATCAGAGTCGTTACTGATACATTATCGTGGGTTTTTTAATAACATCCTCCTCTTCAGTTCATACACAAAAATTCACGAACGACGAGAAACCACATGCGCTCTCCAATTAAAGAAATGTTTTTTCAGCTGCCTTAATGTCGTTTTTAGCAAATCTTCACAGCTAATACATTAGCATAATTACAGTTTTGCACTCTGCGTTTGTAGTGCTTTCAGTGTTTTTGACAAGGAAAGAAAGCCATGTCTGTTTCTAGAAGACAGATGGCAAAAAAATTGAATTGATTTGACAACAAGAAGGAAGAATTGGACACCGGAATAGAAATAATATTAATCGTGTTGTTTTGCGTTTCTTGATGTTTCTATTTTTTTCCTGTATAATGTAGTTTTGCTTGCAGGGCGGATGGCAAGGTTCTTTTGAATGAATCCAGCTATATCTTTCACGGCATCAAGGTAAAGATACGCATTAACTAACAAATAGCCATTTTGGGCACATAAACAGCTTGGGCACATAAACTTCGTTTTCTATCCTATATGAAATGCCTCAATCATTGCCTGCATTAGTTTAATTGAGCAATGAAATCACAACACAATATTTGGTGCTACTTGCCAGAAAAATACATTCTGATCTAAGAAGTTAAAGAAATGGCTTTTAGGTTTGACAGAAAAGGTTTAGTTTGACTAAAGAATCTAATCAGACTTCAATGCCAAACAGCCCTGAGAAAGCAAATGATTATGCGATCCAAACTAAATAGCAATGGGAATTGCTGACAAATATCTGCATTACACTGCCAAACATAAAGCAGATTCCCTGACAGTATTCTAAATTGAGGAAGGGAATTTGTCTTTTTCTAACGAAAAGGGGGTTTCTCTTTTTCTAGAATTCCTTCTCCGCCATTGTGATTGTGATTTCAGCTAAAACATTAATATCATCAATGATCAAAACTGTATTATTTGAACTTTTTGTACTTGCTTTTATGTGCTGGTGCGCGCGAACAGTCTGCCAGACAGGATCTTGTCTCTGCGAGGCTCCCTCGCACTAAAGTAAACGAGTATAGAGATTCCGAAAGTATTTTTGCCTTTCATTTTCATGAGGCACTTGCATAGTCCCTGTTTTACTTCCACTTGAAATAATTTCCAAAAGAAGTTGGTGGGAAGTACGGTGGGAGAAGTCGGTTAGTGCAGCCCAAAATTTTTTCAAAGATGTCTACTTGCTGAACTAACCAAACAGATTAGTAGTTTTATTCCAAAGAACTAAGCAGAAAGTAGAATGAAGTGAACGTACGGTGTGTAGATCCTCATTCATGCAATTTGAAAGGCCTAGTGCTATGTTTCGTCAGGAACTTAAGGTACAATGCCTGCCAAAAGTCTTGGAACACTGACATCAATTTCCAAGGTCAAAACCAATCATCCCCCTCTCCCCCACGGAACAATGTTGGTTTACTATCAAACGGATTAGGATTTTAGGAAGCACTTTCTTTTGCGCTTCTTTATGATATTTCTCTAAATCATCAACATTGTTTGAGGGGGAAGGGGGCGGAAGTAGCAAATTTTTTTCATGAAAGGAATGAAAGATATCAAATGCAGCGTAAATTGGTGGGTGTTCCAAGTACTTTTGGCAGGCATTGTATATGAAGGGCAACGCTCTTTTTCACACAAAATTTGGTGCTCAGTGAAATTGATGGTAATTTTGTATTATTGCTACACTTTCGATTTATCACTAAATATTGAATTCAAGTCTGTGCTAACAAGACATGCGATGCTGGTATCTCGTGTAAAGTCTGAAGTTTACCTAAAAAACCCAATAGATTAGCCTATGGCTACAAAGATCAACAAAATGTTGGAAGATAAGCAATCTTTCCAACTTCCTATTCAATTTCATATGCATAGAAGAGAAGCTTGTGATATCCTTTCCTTCATATTTATCTCGCCAATTTCCTTTGCTGATAAACCGAGACTCAGACTTTAAAAAGAGACTCGTGTTAAACAGGGCTCTTTCATTCTATAATTTTTTCAATCAAAGCGATACAGTAGGGTGAGATATCAAGTTTTTAGAACCTAGGCCTAATATTTTTCAGAAAAAGGACACTTGTTATTAAACCATTGGGTCTACACCTGAAAGAATTTAGTCAAAGACAATACTTAATAGTTTAATAATAGATGATAAGCCTGTTTTTACCTTTAATAGTGATACCCAGCGGTACAAAGTTGATAGAAACTGCCAGCATAATCGTAAAAAAGTTGGAAATGATTTGCAGAAGTTTTGTGGTGAAATGTTCTATTCAAATTGTGCTCAATGAAATACAAAACCTATGTCAATGGCCTCTTACGATGCTCCATGATTTCTTACAGTGCTTCATGATTTCTTACGGTGCTTCCATGTGAATTTTAGCTGAATTAATTAGTCAATCTATTTTCTTTTATGTTCATTGCGATAACTTGCCATTCTAAATCTTTCTCTCTACTGACAATTATAAAAGGTACTCTGTTGTATGTATCCAGACATTTCCATAAGCAGGTGAGAATGTAAGCCCGCAGTGTGAATAATAACAAAAAACCCGTCTCCGAGTAGCAGAAAGGAACCTATTCCGGAGTAATTTTTACGCTAACTTTACCGAATCCCTGCAATAAATTATACTTCATTCTTTTTATCCAACGCCGCCATTTTCCCTTCCACTTTCCTGTCGATCCCATATTCACAAAGCCTTAATGGCTCACAAATTTGACATAATATGTCTCGGAAACACCTGTGCTAACAATTGCTAAATTATTTTTCTTGAAAAATCTGCTAGAAGCTAGGACAGCCCCTGACAAATCTCAACTGAGAAGCACGGCGATGGAGCATCTGCCATGCCGCTAAAGTGTAATCGAGGCAGGTGCATTGGATTTATGATAATTTATTCTATGTTGTCGTTGTCCTATTCTCAAATAAGTTAGGCCTGCAGAGACAGCTGCAAACTCTATTCCTAATTAAAGAAATCCATTTTATCAGGAGTTTTCACAGACAGTAAAAGACGGATATCTAATAGACGAAAATCTGGTTGTTGAATTGTAGTTCTGCCTGAAGGGGCATCTGCGGAGCTGCCCACAAACGAGACACTCGATGTTTCAAATGTTTAAATTTCAGCAAGACAAGGACGACAAAATGATTGCCCGAAGATATTCACCGCCTCCACCTGATCCATATCCTTTACCAAGTCTTCGTTTGGTCATTCTCTGTGTTTCCGTGGCAGTAGCTCTGAGTATGGTCGTTGTTATTCTCCTCATCGACGTCCGTCCTCCACCTCTGTCAGACATATTTCTTTCGCCTGTGTACTTTCCACTCGGACAGAGTTTGCAAGTGAAGACGAGACGATGGTCAAGAAACGAGAAACTGTGTTCAAATTATGGCGTGCCAAAACTGATAATAAATGTAACTGACACCCTTTGTGGTCAAGCTGTTTGGCAAAGTACGGCAGATACAGAAGAAGGGGACCGTTACGTAAACAAAGTGGATACAATTTACAGATTTTTCAGAAATGAAAGCACTGCTTTGCAATACTTTCAAAATTACTGGGGTAATGTACCCCTTCCCTTACCATTTGAACTATACAGTGATGAAACTCCTACTGCACCAACAGCTGGCAGTGAATTTTCAGCATTCAAGTGGGACCCTGTAGCTGTGTACAATGACAAGACTGAAGAAGAAGTTTCAAAAATCCATCATAGATGTGGCACAAAAGGATGCAGCTCAGTTTTTAAGCATATTCTATATCTCTTTAGGTATGATTAACCTCTCTCTGGTAATGAATCTCATTTGGTTTCACTACTGATAAGAAATTTACTTCTCAAAAATTGAATCAACTTCAAAATTAGTTACTTACTAAGCCCATTCATTCATTTGGACTGAGAATCACCTTTTTTTCCCTTTTAAATTCGAAAGAAATCCAGTATATATCTAATTCATGAAATATTGACTGAATATTTTGTTCAGTTTTGAATATATGCTTTAAAAAGACAACAAGATTAATGTCAAAGCTGAAAAACTAATATACTTGACATTTTGCTTGGCAAAACTGCCTATTTTTCACATCTTTACAATGAATAGATAATTAAATTATCTATCCTGAAAAATTCAGTCAAAGTTTACTAGAAATTCTATGCCAGTCAAACCACAAAACAAACAGTAACAATGTTTGTCATTTGTTAAGTTTCATTTGAAATCATCCTGTGTGAGAGATAATTGGCAGCATGATGAAGTTTTGGAGGTAAAATGCTGAAAATGGAAATGGAATAATGTCAAACACTTAAAACTATCAATATATTACATTCAAGATCATGTTCTGGAGCACTTCATGCTTTTTAATGATATAAACTGTGTTTGTTTCCTCATTTTAGGTATAAAAATGTGTTTGCAAGGCTGGTTATCCATGGATTCAATGACAGCAGAGATTCAAGGCTTGGAGTTGAATTTGCTGGAAGGTATGTTTATCTTAACATTTTGTTTTGAAATAATAATATGTTTATAAGTCTTAACTAAGGAGAGTTGTCCATCATAGATTTTGTTTTTAAAGAGTTTGGAAAATCAATTGGAAATTTGTGAAAAATTGTTCTCTTCTTTTGTCCCAAAGAAAAAGAAAGCATTTTGTCCTTTTGGTTATCATAATTTTCTTGCAAATGTTGGAAATTGTCAGCAAAATATTTGGGCTAAAAATAAATTTTTGCAAAAAATAAATGGAGAACATGATCATCTTCATGCTTCATGCAAATTGAGGCTCTTTGCCAATGTTCCAAATTATGCAAGTCATAATTATAGGGAAAGAAATGATTCTTTTTACCAAATTCTTTGTTTTAGGCTTGCTGGCATCATGGTTGATCTCATTACTCAGAACCAACCATCATCTCTTGATGCATTTATCATCAATTTCCAGTCAGGAGTCAGATTTCTGACCCGCACATTACCAGTTGGTTTGCTGAATAAAGGTATAACACCTAGTACCCTTTTATTGATGATTCCATGAGTGCATTTTATGTATGTATGTTGTTCTGATAACATAAGAGTTGACAATAAACCCCCCCCAACATATTGACAAGTTTTTTTTCCATCAATATGTATTGTTTCTTACAACATGGTCTCAAATCCTTTTAAAGTTAGATTTTTCCGATAATAAGGGCCAGACTTGAGGTGACATGCTTATAAATAAAAGGCAGTTATTTTACAACTTGACTTCCCTTCACAAACCAATCTTTTGACTGACAAAGTTTCACATAAAAATAATTCATGACAGGCAAAATATTAAGCATAACTACCTATATTTTACAGGATACATTCTATCAGAAAGGTTCCTGCTTGAGTCCTATGCAAATTCTTGCAAATATTCTTTATTCGTAGATTTTTAGAAATGAAAGCCACCATTCTTCATTTTATGCTATGCTTCCAGTCTTGTGCTATGCTGTTTTGTTTTGCCTGCAAATAATTACCCATCAACTATGAATCTTTCCATTAACTATTGGGGCTTTGAATTTTACCTTTAAGAGCTATCAACAAAATTTGAAGCTCTCTACTACTTTTGATTCGGTTGAAATAAAGTTAGTTTTGCCATTCAGAAAATAAATATATCTCATTGATAATAAAGTATTTATCATCTAGAGTGCTTTGAAGCTTGTTCTGGACTTTGTGCCAAATTTGCCTTAACTTAGAGGGTAAAGTGTACTTCAAGTAGGAACTTCTAAAAAGCAAATTCAATCTTTTCCTCTCATTTAACCGTTTTTTTGCTGTTCATTGTATTTGACTGCCATTTTGAAAATATCACAAAAGTTTTAAAATATTAAGAAATTTATTATATATCACTTCGGTTTGTCACCTGCAAGCCAACCTTTATTTTTTTAGCTTTTTATTCTATGGTGTTATTTAATTGCTTTTGTTCAAATTTTAGCGTACTTGGCTGTGTTTATGCTAGGTCAAGGAGTTATAGCTTTGTTTGACCTCGACTCTTGGATCGCTGTAATGGAGCTTGTTAGCCACCAATTGCGTTTACTGTGGCAGCACTTAATCGGTAAGATCTTCACAGAAAATGTTAATCAATTAACAAACAGCGCATCTCGTGTCAAGCGTCATTTATTTGATGTCCAAAGCAGACTAACTTCATTAAATTCGTTTCATTCTAACCCGAAAAGTTCGGCTGTTGATTCTGAAATCACAATTTCTTATATCTGTTCGTTCTATTGTTTAAGCCTCTTTTTGACTTATTTTGTTTAAACCCGCTTTCCCTTAATAATAGACCCTGAAAATAAGTAAACAGCTAGATGATGCGGTGACCACTGAAACGTCGCTTCCCCAACTATTTTCTTTTTAAGATATGAATTAAACAAGGATAGCACTCACAGCCATTTTAAAATACGACCAAATCGGTATATTAATGACGGGACAGGTCGTTAGTCGATATGAAGTGTTCCTTAAGAAGGATGAGTTTACTGAATTTCGATACTGGAAGAGCTTCTAGTATTGTCTTCATCGATTATCGGTACAATAGATGTGCGTATTTCTGCACGATTTGGAAAAATCTACACGAATATTTGCCTTTGAAATAGCCTGACAGTTTCTTCTTCGTTTGATCTCTTTTTGGAGAACTATTTCTTAAGCTTTCTCAAGTTTTAGAATCTTTCTGTTGCTAAAAATTTAAATATCGAAAGTTAACTGAAAAGCACACATCACAAAGCACACCAATTCTCTATATTTATTTTCAATGCACTTGCGGACAAGGAATTATTTTTTCCCACTGACTAGTTGATGATAAATGTTGTTTCACATTTGAAACCTTTAAAAACCTTCCATTTTTCTGACAATCAAAAGCGTTGCACACTAAGTAACTATTCGTTTCAACTATAATCTTATCACCGCAAATTGGCGACTCAAGTTGATTTGTGAGGTAGAATCTCCAGCTGAAATTATCAAAACGAGGCGCAGGTGCGGCATAACACGTATACGTAGGTATAAGAGCTGTTTTGGCCTGTGAATCACGGTCACCTCGCCTGCCGCTAATAGGCTTCCAAGCAACAGCTGCTGTTCTGCTGTATCAGATCAACCTTGTTTTTTCAATAAATTCGTGCTTAGACAGATGGTCTCTCAGTTATACGATTTGCATTTGCCTATTTTGGATTTAAGCTGTTTGAGATGTTGATATTTCAATATTTTTCGCTCGTATGAAATGGTTTGAAACCGTTAGATTTAGGCTTAAAACATAAAAAACTTGAAAGCTGTTGATCAGACTAGATCAAGTCTGAATTTTCCCAATTGCCTGCTCTTTTTTTAACTTAGATCTGTCTTCATGACAATGCTAATGATCAGCTGACAGAATTATGCAGAATCAACTGCTCACTGCATCTGGTTTGGAGTCAGCAGAAACTACTATCATCTTGAACATCCTTTTAGCTGAAAAGTTGACCTAATCGAAAAACCAAAAAATATAAAATCACGGCCTGTGATTACTTTGATAATTTTATGTGCAGTCCATCTTCGTTTATTCAAACATCTTGGAATGAAATGTGTGAAGAGCCATTCGGAAAAGCAAAAAGTTCGGATGATTGAGGCTAGGATTTGGTCTCGAAAATCACACAAAAGACAAGAGTTTTATACCATTTTAGCTTTCAATTATACGCGTGCATAACAAATGGAACTTTTGACGTGCAAGCTTAATCCTCATATATCTATTTAGAAATGAGTCTATAGTTGTTTGTTTTTGGTTACTTTCACGTTTGTCAGTTGCATGTTTACGCTAGTAGAGAAGACAAACTTTTTGGATGCTGAATTCATTTTAGGACTCACATTTAATTGAAGATCAGCTTACATAAATTAGTGTTCTGTCAAATGAATTATTTTCTATTATAAACCGTCACACTAAAACGATGTTGGTATAAACAAAGTTCGGATAAACGAGGATGCACTGTACGGTGGTTTTCTAAATTTAGGGAGTTAATAGTGTTTTTCAACCACCAATATCACACGATTAGTTTAATACGACAAGACATTACACTCGTCATTGCTGAGAGTTGTCACTCTAAAGACTTTTGGCAATTTCACAGATTTGTTTTTGCTCTATATTTGCTTTCAATTCCAAAGGCTTCCAACTGTTGTTCAAATCAGCATGTAGCACGATAATATTTCATTCAATCTTCCCATGTATGACCGTTTCATCTGCTAGTAGAAATGCAAGTAGATTTCTATCTTTTTTATAGATGCATCTGTGAAGGATTTGTACTTCTTAGCAGTTGCTGGCTTACTGCTTTTAATTCACAGAACACAAACATTTCTCACGGTATGTTACTGAACTTTTTCAAATGATTTTCAAAATGTTACTAAACGGTTTTAAAAGCAGATATATAGCCATGTTTTGATACAATTCACCTTGGTTAGTTAAAGGCTCTTGCGCAACCGGCATGCTTTGCGAATTCATACTTAAAACCGCCCTAATATCATACTGCATAAAAATACCAAATAAAGTCCATTTTTTCTCGCGTGAGAAAACAGCAAAGCATGCCGGTTGCGCAATAGCCTTTAATGTACTTGTTTACTGTGTTCGTGAGTACCCTCAGCAAATTATCCACAGCTGTGGTTTACGCCTCCTCAAGAGACGTTGATTAGCTTTCAGATCCTCGTATATATTTGTGATATCTCTAACAAATGGTTGTTTTAAGTTTCCAACATCTAGGACAAAGAGGCCTATTATAGCTGGGTTTTTGCACAAAAATCTAAGATAAAAAATTGTGGCTCGATGTATAATTGTAACAACCCTATCATGGTAATATTAAATGCAGCATATTTTGTAAAATATTTATTGTGCAGCACGTCATATGCAATATTTCACAACCTCACAACCCCCCTCCCTCGACCGTTTGGTTTCTTTTGCTATAAAACTTTTTTAGACAAATTGATTCATATTATTATTACATGGAAATGATCTCATGATATGCTGTTAGCAGAGTTTAGTCAAAGTTCTTCACTTCCGTTAAAAAAACCATGTCTCAGAGTTTTTGGAACAGAGCCCCAATGAAACAGTAATAGATAGCCCTATTTTGAACCGATTTAATGACTTCTTGCAAAGCTGCTCAACATTGCCTCGTCCTTCGTTACCGCCTTAGCTTTAATAATTGTTTACCAGACAAGTTTGAAAATATCTTTTCATCTGTGTTGTTTTTTCAAAGTATTTTAATTTGATTACGCCTATGTAAACGATCTTTTCACCAGAGGATTCTACCTGCTGGCCCAGTTGTTATATTTAGATTGAAATTACTAGTACATTAATTAAAAACGCTCTATGTATGCTGGGTATAAAGATCCTTTCGTCTTATATATCTGACGCATTCCCTATTCACTTTTAACTCCAAACGATAAGACGTATTAACTCGAAAATTACTATCATGAGGCCTTCGCAATTGAATTTTTCTAGGCACAAATATAAACACCGGAAAATTCCTTAATTTCCTGGAATGTTCTGCAGCTCTAGTATTATAATATGAAATACAAGTACGGCTGTTTGAAAATATCGAAGCCAGGTGTCTTTCATACAGAATTTTGAGTGCCCAGTTAGATTCAGATTATTGACATTTTCGTCCAACTGTGGTGTTTTACTGCCTGGAATTCCAGTTGTCGATTGTATCACAGAAAATATGAAATTTTGTTTTAGATTAGACTATCAATAGGACTTAGTGCGTAGATTTTTACCTATGTGGATAGTCAACAAAATCTTACTAAATTGTCACCTGCCCTGGGGTAATTCTATGACTGCTCCTAGTCTGCTATGACGATTTTACCTTTTTCTTCCCCTAGCCTTATGACGAGATGAACAACATGCACAACAAATGCCGCAGTATGCTAACAAGCGCTGTTGAGAAGGCACGTCGTCAGACTGTTCAAGTTAAGGACGACATTCTGCTTCAACCATGAACCATCATTCTATTTAGTTGGATTCAGGACTGGAATAATTTACTTTCGAACGCATCTAGGGTTGGGAAAGCTTAAATTGTTATTAGTGGTGTTAGTGTTTTTGTTGTGTCTATTCCTCTGCATAACCACTTACGTTTAGCGTAATTAGGTAAATTTAAGTATAAACTGCATCAAGTAAGGCTTATTTTTGCTCCAAGCAATCTGTGTTAGACAATGGGAGGCGGTCAGACTATCGATATGCCAAACTACCTCTGGCATACAGAAGTAAAAAAACAATATCAATTCAAATGTATTAACAAACCCTCTCTTATAATAAAAGTTGGCCTTCATTTGTTGCCTTAAAATCTTAAAATTTTCTTTACCTACCAAATACTTATTTCTTATGTATAGTACATAATGTGTGACGTGCTTTGTGTAAATGTGAAACTTGTTGTGTAGCAGGTAAGCTGCTCCACCCCAATTATGAAGCAGAATGTGTTTTATTTATTCTAATTAAATGTCATCGCTTTATAGTTTTGTTGTTAAGCTAAACTGTTAAGGTAAAATCAATAACAATGCCAAAAGGTTGAGGATCTCATTGAATATCAATATTGGATTTGGTGGAAATATTTCTCTTTTTTCTTTAAATGTATGAGGTACTGAATTTTTTCCGTTTTTATTATTTTATTGTGCTCTCGACGCAGTGCATTGTGACAAGATAGAATGACAAAACAGCTGAAATATTCTAGGCTGATTAATATTGTTAACAAAGATAGAAGGGTTCATGCCATTAAAGGAATAGATTTTTGTATAGCAATGTAAGCCTGTACACATGACAAATTCTCCGTTCATGAGTATCACCTATTTTCGCAAAAAAGCCTTATTAACACGTTGAATAGCAAAATAGCCAATATATTTTGGTATAATATTTTCACGAAATTAAAAGGATTTTTCTTAGATAAAAAGGGAAGCTTTTGGCTAAAAATGTGTCTGTAGGCTAAACAAAAACTGCATTTTGACATCTCTATTTTGCATTTCAAATCGTCCTCTTTTCTTGTTAAAATACCAGAACAACCAGATTATTCTAGTAGGATCAGAATTTTTCTCATCATAAAAGGAAGGTGACATTACTGTACAAAATGTAAGCCTATAGCCTTGCAAAAAAAGTCCATTTTTGCATGTCAGTTTTTAGTTTCTAATAACACTAAAGAATGGTTAAACAAACAAAATGTTCTATGTGTATCAGTATGTTTCCCGAAAAAAAGGTTTGCAATCAAAAAAGACGGCAAATTTTTGACAAAAATGTAAGCCTATAGCCTTAGGAAAATACTCCATTTTTGCTTGGCACTTGTTCATTGCCAGAATACCTTAATAACCCTAATGAATAGCCAAACAACCAAAATGTTGTACGTGGATCAATATATTTCACCAAAAAGGAAGATTTTCAATCAAAAAAGACGGCAAATTTTTGACAAAAATGTTAGCCTATAGCCTTAGGAAAATACTCCATTTTTGCTTGGCACTTGTTCATTGCCAGAGTACCTTAATAACCCTAATGAATAGCCAAACAACCAAAATGTTGTACGTGGATCAATATATTTCACCAAAAAGGAAGATTTTCAATCAAAAAAGACGGCAAATTTTTGACAAAAATGTAAGCCTATAGCCTTAGGAAAATACTCAATTTTTGCTTGGCACTTGTTCATTGCCAGAATACCTTAATAACCCTAATGAATAGCCAAACAACCAAAATGTTGTACGTGGATCAATATATTTCACCAAAAAGGAAGATTTTCAATAAAAAAGACGGCAAATTTTCTGACAAGAATGTAAGCCTATAGCCTTAGGAAAATACTCAATTTTTGCTTGGCACTTGTTCATTGCCAGAATACCTTAATAACCCTAATGAATAGCCAAACAACCAAAATGTTGTACGTGGATCAATATATTTCACCAAAAAGGAAGATTTTCAATCAAAAAAGACGGCAAATTTTTGACAAAAATGTAAGCCTATAGCCTTAGGAAAATACTCAATTTTTGCTTGGCACTTGTTCATTGCCAGAATACCTTAATAACCCTAATGAATAGCCAAACAACCAAAATGTTGTACGTGGATCAATATATTTCACCAAAAAGGAAGATTTTCAATAAAAAAGACGGCAAATTTTCTAACAAAAATGTAAGCCTATAGCCTTAGGAAAATACTCAATTTTTGCTTGGCACTTGTTCATTGCCAGAATACCTTAATAACCCTAATGAATAGCCAAACAACCAAAATGTTGTACGTGGATCAATATATTTCACCAAAAAGGAAGATTTTCAATCAAAAAAGACGGCAAATTTTTGACAAAAATGTAAGCCTATAGCCTTAGGAAAATACTCAATTTTTGCTTGGCACTTGTTCATTGCCAGAATACCTTAATAACCCTACTGAATAGCCAAACAACCAAAATGTTGTACGTGGATCAATATATTTCACCAAAAAGGAAGATTTTCAATAAAAAAGACAGGGGAAGTTTTTGACAAAAATGTAAGCCTATAGCCTTAGGAAAATACTCAATTTTTGCTTGGCACTTGTTCATTGCCAGAATACCTTAATAACCCTAATGAATAGCCAAACAACCAAAATGTTGTACGTGGATCAATATATTTCACCAAAAAGGAAGATTTTCAATCAAAAAAGACGGCAAATTTTTGACAAAAATGTAAGCCTATAGCCTTAGGAAAACTCCATTTTTGCTTATCAGTTTCTCATTACCAAAATGCCTAAATAGCACAAAATAAAAGCTTAAACAGCCAAAATTTTCTGTATTGATCAGTATATTTCCAGGAAAAGGGAGTTTTCCAATAAAAAAAGTGAGGGGAAGTTTTTGATAAAAATGTAAGCCTATAGCCTTATAATCCATAATCCAAATAATCCATATTTTCTCGGCAGCCTTTCATTGTCAAAATGCCTGAATAACGCTAAAGAATAAATAAACGGACAAAATGTTCTTCGTGGATCAATACATTTCCCCAAAAAAACATATTTCATGAGAATAGAAGCTTATATGCTATTATTTAAGAGGTCCTACATTATATGTTATAATTTTATAGACTAAGCAAACAATACAATTTTTGTTTAGAAGATTTTCACTACAAAATTTTATCTGATAATTCAATGCATTATGGAGAACAGTATGCCTTTACTTTGATGCCTTTATCCGAAGGTGAAAACTTTTATAGGCTTATAGGCATAACCAAATATTATATCAGGCATATAGGCTTGGGAAAATAGGGAATTTTTTGAAGAAAATTTCACTCATAAAAAAGTATTTTAACACATTAACATGGTAGGACAGCCAATTCATAGTGTTCAGCTAATTTTGTGATATAAACTATAAAGTTTTATGTAAATATACAAAGGGGCTGAAAATATATTACAAAGTGAGGTGAAATTTGACCAGAGTTTAAGGCTATAGTCTTCGGGAAAAAAATTGTTTATTTGTTTAGGACACTTAGCTGGAGATTATTCGACCAATTCAGTCAATGAGAATATAGCATTCGAGAGAAGAGAAAAAAGAAACATACCCAAGAAGGATAGAAGTCTTAATGGAACTGTTGAAGAGCTGATTATCATTCTATTACTGACCATTTATGCTGCAGTTCAACACCTCCCTCTTTGCTGAAAGTCGTGCCAGGAAAATGTTAAGCCAACATTGCAATATGTGCTTCCAAATCCTAATAAACAACTCAATATATCAATGTCTAGCTCTTGGCAGGGCGAAAAAAGACATGTCTGTTACATGATTCGCAAATCTTGCATTTTATAACATAGGATCGCTTGAAGGATGAAAGCATATATTCTCAAAACATATATGTATAGAAAATACACCCAATAATCTGTTTATTATTCAAAAGAAATACTCAATGCGAACAGAAGATGGGTATCATAACACTGATTCAAGAAAGAATGAATAACAATAGTATATACATATATAAAAATATCCACTCTAGATCGAATTTTTTATGCAAGCTACATGCTAGTTTTTGCTACAAATCTAATTTAGCGTTCTGCACTTCATCACAGTTATGGCTACCGTCACAAAATGGCGGATTATTAGTTTGCTTACAACCACAAAGAAAGGCTATTTCTGTCGCTTCTGCCTTGAATCGAATAGGCGAAATACCAGTTCGGTGTCTTCTATGCTGTCCATCACAAAATGGCTGAAATTAAATGTGATTTAAAAAAATCAAATTTAATTGTAGGATATGTTCTCCCAAATCATTCTTGCAATAAATAGTTCATACGTACATTCTAGCAGAACTGGACATTCATTTCCGTTTATCAATAACAAAAACTTGGCTATTTTAAGGGAAAATGCTCGCAATATTGTACACAAGTGATTAACTTTTTTGAAAACCTTGGCCACAGCAAGTGTCAGAAGAACCTGAGGCTGCAAATAAATAAAAAATCAGTAACATTATTACAGCTAGTAGTTATGAGTCCGCGTTGAAACAAAACGGCTCAACTGTCTTGGTTTTATAAATAGAAATTGAAAATGGCTTTGAAAAAAGCAAACATTTAGTAAACTAAAGCTTTTCGTC